ACTGCTCGCGGTTCCAATAGCCCTTGGTGACGCTCTCGCCTTGGATCCAGATCTCACCGACGCGGCAGTCGGGCAGTTGCTCGTGCGTCTCGGGGTCGACGATGATGACCTTGAACGTCGGGCGGAGCGTGCCGCAGCCGACAAGCGTCATGGTGTCGACAGCCGGGTGGTCGGCCGGCGCGCGCTGGGCCTTCTTGTGCTGCTCGAGAGCGTTCTTCTTGGCGACAAAGACGACGGGCTCCTTGGGGTTGTACGGGTCGGGGCCCGTCGCGGCCTAGAGATATGTCAAAGTGAGCGTTTCTGCAAACTAAGATCAATAAGAAACGTACCAGAGTGGCCTCGGCAAGACCGTAGCCACAGCCGTACGTCTTGGGGTTGAAGCCGGCAGGCGCAAACGTCTCAGTGAACGCGTTGAGCGACTCGATACGAATCGGCTCGGCAGCGCACAAACTCTGACGCAAATGGCGCAAGTCAAGCTTGGCCGCTTGGGCCTTGGTCGTCTTGCGGGCGGCAAGGGCATAGCCAAAGTTGGGTGCGCAGATCTGCGTGGCCTTGTACTTGGAGGCCGTGCGCATCCAGAGTGCAGGATCCTTGATGAACGAAAGCGGAGACATCGACACACACCGGGCACCTAAAGTGCAAAGTCAGAAAGGCCAAGTGCAAAGTGGGATCAGAGTGCGTACCAGTCGAAGCTGGCGCAAGGATAAAGACGACGAGACCCATGTCATGGTACGACGGGACCCATGAAACCATCGTGTCGGTCTCACGAATGGCGACCCACACCTTGAGCTGCGCGTTGACGTTGCCATACGACACCATGACGGCCTTGGGCTCGGATGTCGAGCCGGACGAGTACTGGAAGAAGGCCAAATCGTCAAACGAGCACTCGACATCAGTGTAGCTACATCCATGCATAAGCTCGCGGCACGCTGCATAGAGGCATCGTACCACATGTCCATGTCGTCGGCAATGGCGTCTGTCGAGAACCACTGAATGTCCTTGGGCCACGACACCGAACCAGAGAAGTAGCTCTTGGCGGTCGCGAGCTGCGTCGCCATGTAATACGTACGGTTGGTCAAAATGACCTTGGCGCCCGAGTCGGCGACCATGCGGTTAAACTTGGGGAGGTCCTTGACGAGCGTGCCCGGGTACGGCGGGTAGACAGGGATGCCGATCGCACCGGCGTAGAGGCAGCCCCAAAAGCCCATGGCAAAGTCGAGGCCCGGGGGATACGCGAGCATGACGCGGTCGCCCTTCTTCAAATCTTAACAACAACCATGAGTCTTCGCATAGGATAGAGTGGTGACGTACTGGCATCTTGCTGCAAGGTGGCAGCGACGCGGCGGGCGGCGCGGTCAAGGTCGCCAAACGTGAGGTTGACGCTTTCGCGGCCATAGTCGTCGAGGAATGTGTAGACGACCTTGTTGGGGTCGTGCGAGCGCGCTGCTTGAGGAGTTCGACAATGGTGAGGTCTTCAAAGGTGGCCGGTGTCCGCGAGCCGTGGTGGGACCGCTCCTGCAAAAATGCCTTGGTGGGAGATGCGGGCTTGGATTTGTCGTTGGCCGCCCACATGTCGTCGACGGGCTCAAAGCTGCCAGTAATGGCCGGCGACGGCGACGGCTGCAGCAGCCCGAGGAGCATCGAGAGGAAGGCGATGGCTGCGAGCTTGATCGCGTCCAGAATCACCATCGGCTTCATGGTTGATGTGTGGTGCGCGGAGTGAAAACGGAAATGAATGCACCCGACGACGACTACCTGTTGCAACTCCTGTTTTTGCGACTAGCGACAGGCGAAACCATATCCATCGACGGCGGGTAGCCATACCGAATCGACGCTTCTCTATTTGATAACGGACTCGACGCCACGTGCCCATAGCAAACCACGTTGCGCGACTCGAACCAGATGGTTGTCATTTCAAGTGAAGAGGGAGGGGCAATGTGCACCGCGCAGCAGCAGGTCGCTGCTCACCGATGCTACTCGGTGGTGCAGAAATTTTTCGATTGGCTCGAGCACAACAATGTATATAAACCACTCGACCACTCGAAGCAAGTTTCGAGCCGAACAAAAGGCATGCCTCTCGAGCCTCGGCGGAAGGTGACGGTGTCGAGACGTGTCGCCCCTCCTCATAGTGCCATCACATAGATCTTGCAGTCCCATCACTGGGACGTTTGGCAGTAATGGTATGTCTTTCAGGTGGGAGGGCTGACCTCTACAAGACCGCCAACATTCGTGGCCCCAATGCATGCGCTTGCTTCAAAATTTAGCCGCGGACGCGTCATCCGTCTCGACGTCGTCTGGGGATCGACGGCGCACATCCCACATGCACTTACGTGGCGTCTACCCGCGGCTTTTCTAGCCACCAAAAATACATTTTGCCAGACAAAGGTGTAATAGTTGGAAGAACGTCACGTTAATAATGTGTGGAGTATGCACCACCCGCGCGCGACACGTGCTGCAAAGCCAGGGTCGGCAAGGAAAGGGTCGGCCGATCCACGTCGTGGCTGGATCGTTGAGGCAAGGTCCCATAACATCGCCCGTAGGACGTAGCGAAAAGTCATCCAAGCGGATTCGACACGAGGTCTCCAATAGCCGAAGTGGCGAATACGGTCTGATGCGGCCCGTTCACTGGCGCCAAGAATGTTGGTCTCTCGTAGCCAATCAAAAGTTGGCATTTCAAATCTGATCGGCGGTTTCGGCGCCAGACGCGCAATCCCCGTCCGTTGCAATCTTCCGACGCCAGCGAGCTACAATAGACGGCGCTGTTCCGTACCGTTCTCGATAGAGACGACGACTAGCGATGCCCAGTAAAGAGCTCACCGAACAGTAGTGTCCGAAACACGGGCTTTTGTTCTTGGGTCGACCACCCGTTGCCACCCCGATTTTCTTATCCACTTCAGCGTGTAGCACCGACGTATCCATGAAGCTGCTCAGCACCGCTGATACAAAAACAAGACGGCGCGCACCTCCATGGATGCATCCTTCGACCACTGCACCGACAAGTAAGATCAGTCCAGGCTGCCGACATGACTTTGCGGGAGCGTTAAGAAACGTCCCTCCACTTGTGAGCCCAAGGACGCGACAGTATATGTGCAAAATGCATTGGATTCACTAACTGGATCAAATATAGTCCTATTTAAAATATATCCTACTAAATTACATTGCTTTTACGCATCGACTTCTTCCACGACCTTGGCCTCGACAGCAACGGGCTCCGTGCGCAGACTGCCCATGATGCGGACAAGCGATTCGACCGTGCGACTAAGGTCGGCTTCCGTGTGCAAGTACGAGATGAAGAAGCGCAGCCGGCACTTGCCCTCCTCGACGGCCGGGTGCACGATCGAGGTGACTGAGTCTTCTCTTCGTCGCTCAGCCGCATCGAGAGACGCACCGTCTCGACCGTCCCACCAATGTACACGACGACCACGCACGCGCCACGGACGTTGGTGCCCACGTCGAGCTTGGCCGCCACGCACGCGTCGTAAAAGAACGCGCTGAGCTCCTGGAGACGCACCGACCGCTGCGGCTCGTCGCCCATGAGCTGCGCGGCTTTGAGCGCCGCGCCGGCGTTGGCCGGACCGAGGCCCACCGAGTAGACAAAGCCGCCCGCAGAGTACTTGAGGTAGTCGACCACGGTCTTGGCCGCGAGGATGAAGCCGCCCACAGACCCGAGCGCCTTGCTCATCGTACCCATGCGCACGTCGACGTCGGTGGTCGGCACGTCAAAGTACTCGCACATGCCCTTGCCCGTCTGGCCCATCGTGCCAAACGAGTGCGCTTCGTCCACAAACAGAATCGCCTTGTGCTGCTTCTTGAGCGCGACGAACGCCGGCAGGTTTGGCACGTCGCCGTCCATCGAGTACACGCCCTCGATCACGATCAGCACGCGCCGGTACTTGTGCCGGACCGACTTGAGGATGCGTTCGGCGGCTGCCACGTCATTGTGCGGGAACGCGAGGATCGTCGCGCCACTGAGGCGCTGGCCGTTCACGCAGCTGTTGTGGTTGAGGATGTCGCACAGAATGAGGTCGCCCTTGCCGACGAGCGCCGCGATCGTCGTCACGTTGGTGACCCAGCCGCCCACAAAGAGCACGGACGCCTCGGCGTCAAAGTGCTTGCACAAGGCGGCCTCGAGCTGCGTGTTGATGATGTTTTGGCCAACGATCGGCGACGAGCTCATGCCCGTGCCGTAGTTGTCGATGGCGTCCTTGGAGGCCTGCGCCGTCGCGGGGTGCGACGCGTACCCGAGGTAGTTGTACGTGTTGAAGTTGAGCTGCTGCTTCTTCTCGGCCGTCAACACATCCAAGTACGGCAGCACGAGACCGGCGTCCGTGAGCTCGGTCAGCTGACCACGGAGGTGCTGGACCTCGGGGAAGCACTCAAAGTCGTAGCACTCGGCCTTGATCTCGCCGTTCTCATCGACGTACGAGCCTTCGGGGAGCGTCGACTCTTGCGTCTCGAGCTCACCAGTCGCAAGACCTGGGGCGTTGGCGAGCTTGGCCGGCGTGTCAAACTGGAAGAACGCCGACGGCGGCACGACGCAGCCGAGAAATTCGCCGAGCTCGGCGCTGAGACCGACAATGGCCACCGAGTCCATGCCGACGCAGGCCCACGGCGTGTCGGCGTCGATCGTCGGTGCCGGGCCTTCACCACTCGCGGCTTCCTGACCCAAGCGCTCGAGCAACCACGTGACAATCTCTTCGGGAGTACGGATGACGCCATCCGAGGTTGACTCGGTGACCTTGGCGACGGCGGCGACCGGCGCCTCCTTGGGTGTCGCTTGGATCACACCGGTATGCGTGTACTGGGCGGCGAGCGTGTTGTCTTCAAACTTGGCCTTGGTGCCACGACGCTGGATCTTGCCGCTCGTCGTCTTGGGGATGCTGCGAGGCCGCAAGAGGACGATCGAGGCGCAACGGAGCTGGTGTTCCGACAACACCGACGTTGCGATCGCGTTGGCGATGGCGCGGAGCTTGTCTTGGTCCTTCTTGAGGTCCGAGCGCATCTCGGCGACGACAACAAGGGCCTCTTCTTGGTTGGACGTCTCGATCGAGAAGGCCGCGACGCAGCCAGGACGAACTTCGTCGTGGGCCAGCTCGGTCGTACGCTCGACGTCTTGCGGACACACGTTGCGGCCGCGAATGATGATCAGGTCCTTGAGACGGCTCGTGACGTACATGACGTCACCGTCAAAGAAACCCATGTCACCCGAGCGCAAGTAGTGGTTCTCGGGTGTGTCGGCCGTGCCGCGGACCGTCGCCTGGAACTGCTCCTTCGTGTATTGCTCGCGGTTCCAATAGCCCTTGGTGACGCTCTCGCCTTGGATCCAGATCTCACCGACGCGGCAGTCGGGCAGTTGCTCGTGCGTCTCGGGGTCGACGATGATGACCTTGAACGTCGGGCGGAGTGTGCCGCAGCCGACAAGCGTCATGGTGTCGACAGCCGGGTGGTCGACCGGCGCGCGCTGAGCCTTCTTGTGCTGCTCGAGAGCGTTCTTCTTGGCGACAAAGACGACGGGCTCCTTCGGGTTGTACGGGTCGGGGCCCGTCGCGGCCTAGAGATATGTCAAAGTGAGCGTTTCTGCAGATCAATAAGAAACGTACCAGAGTGGCCTCGGCAAGACCGTAGCCACAGCCGTACGTCTTGGGGTTGAAGCCGGCAGGCGCAAACGTCTCAGTGAACGCGTTGAGCGACTCGATACGAATCGGCTCGGCGGCGCATAGGCATTGCCGGAGGTGCGTAAGATCGAGGTCAGCAACCTGTTTCTTGGTCGTCTTCCGGGCGGCAAGGGCATAGCCAAAGTTGGGTGCGCAGATCTGCGTGGCCTTGTACTTGGAGGCCGTGCGCATCCAAAGCGACGGGTCCTTGATGAACGAAAGCGGAGACATCGACACACACCGGGCACCTAAAGTGCAAAGTCAGAAAGGCCAAGTGCAAAGTGGGATCGAAGTGCGTACCAGTCGAGGCTGGCGCAAGGATAAAGACGACAAGACCCATGTCGTGGTACGACGGGACCCATGAAACCATCGTGTCGGTCTCACGAATCGCAGCCCAGACCTTGAGCTGCGCGTTGACGTTGCCGTACGACACCATGACGGCCTTGGGCTCGGATGTTGAGCCGGACGAGTACTGGAAGAAGGCTAAATCGTCAAACGAGCACTCGACATCAGTGTAGCTACACACATCCATGAGAAATTGCGACAACTAGGGCGAAAAGTGCGTACAAGTCGGCCATCGAGTCAGCTACGGCGTCCGACGACACCCAGCTGATGTCCTTGGGCCACGTGACCGAGCTCGAGAAGAAGCTCTTGGCGGTTGCGAGCTGCGTCGCCATGTAATACGTCCGGTTGGTCAGAATGACCTTGGCGCCCGAGTCGTCGACCATGCGGTTAAACTTGGGGAGGTCCTTGGCGAGCGTGCCCGGGTACGGCGGGTAGACAGGGATGCCGATCGCACCGGCGTAGAGGCAGCCCCAGAAGCCCATGGCAAAGTCGAGGCCTGGGGGATACGCGAGCATGACGCGGTCGCCCTTCTTCAAATCTAAACAACAACCATGAGTCTTCGCACCAAAAACAGTAGAGCGGTGCGTACTGGCATCTTGCTGCAGGGTGGCGGCCACACGACGGGCGGCGCGGTCGACGTCTGCAAACGTGAGGTTGACGCTCTCCTTCCCGGCGTCGTCTCGGCGATCGAGAGCTCGTGGTAGGCGACAGTCTTGACGCTGCCGACGCGGGCGCGCTTGGCTCGACCTTGGCCTTGGCCCGGCGCGCCTTGGTCTTGCGCGTCTTGCTCGACGGCGTCGCCACGACCTTCTCCTCGTCGTCGGCCCAGAGCGAGTCCACTGTCGTCTCCAGCGCCTTGGCCGACGACGGCTGCAGCAGGTTCAGGAGCATCGTGAGGAACGCGACGAGCGCGAGCTTGATCGTATCGACAATCAACGTCGGCTTGACCATCCTACTGTCGTCGCGGCAACTTGGGAATTGACTGCCAGGTCTATTGCGGCGCGGATGTCGTCCGCGGATAAGAGTGGACCGCTGGGAGCGTGCCAGGTGGCGGCGGGGCGACATCGATTGGCCACGTACATTTAAATTATATGGGCGTTTGTATGCAATGATATGCAAACGGCCAGTACATCGACTGGCGTCACCGCGCCGATGTCAACGCGACAGTGCAGAGGTGCACTCTCTCTCGAAAGCGTTTTCTACGTTGTCGAGAGAGAGTTGACGAGTCATTGTTACTAATGACTCTTTTAAAACAGAGAAGAGAGAGATGAATAAAGGGAACTTTGGGTTGAACCCGTCGTGTTGGCTTGTAAAACCTCTAGCAATCAATATGGTACCTGTGCAATCTCGATTTGGTACATGGGCTGTTCATGAGGCTTCCTCGTCCGTTTGTTCGGAGAGCCTCTTCGACGCCCTTCAAGTCTCTCCGTCGTGTTGTGCCAAAGCCGAGCAAGGTCTATCCTATATCTGATAGTGTCTTGATGGGCAAGTAGTCGACCAGAAGCAAACTGTCATAGAAGCTCCATCCACACGCTTGCAAAATTTGATGTTTGGATCGCCGCATGGTATCGTCCGCCTTCTGGGGGGATCATCCCTTGCAAGTTGCAAGGGATGATCCCCCCAGAAGGCGGACGATACCATGTAGCAAAAGCTGTTGCAAGTTGCAACAGCTTTTGCCACGTCCTTTTTGTTGCAACCCCGTTGTAATGTCTTGTCTTCTACAGTATCAATAGGTCGGCCGAGTGCGTTATCGCTAGACTCCAAATGCTTCTTATGCAATGGATTTCTTCGATTCTACCGGTTATAGTATTTCCAGGTTGCCCCGGGCTTTGAACGCTGCTATTCAAGTCGACAGGGCAAACGCATTGTTGGGGCATGCGGTACATGGTCAACGTTCTCGGCTGGCTAAACCGGTTTTTTCTAACCGGTTTTTGCCGGTTATGGCTCGCCAAACTCAATGGAATCTGTTGAGTTTTGAGCGCTTCGCCCAATCACGTTGTCACGCGTTGTCGATACAGTCAGTCGGCGGCTTCCAAGCAGCCTTTCTGCCGTGTGTAGATCTTCGTGTGTCAGCATTCTCGACGCCGAGACATGCATGCATGTGCACTCACAAAAAACACCAAGCTCGTCGCACTCTTGGTCGCTGCAGCCTTGGTTGAAGGGAAGAAGATCCGTTGGGTCACAGTGCACCTTGAAGCTTCAGCGTACTTAACGGGTAAAATATGGTCGACCCTATAAAGTTCGCTTCGACCCCGTGCTGGTCGTCTATAAACACGCCACTGGAGACCGTGGGCCCCCGGCGCCCACTTGTGCATGGCCGCTCGATCGACATATAGCCTGGTAGATCCATGCACGTACACCTGAAAAATCCATCCATGGAAATTGTAGACGGCCGAGATGCGATCCACGAGGGCCCGATCCATTGCCGCGACGTAAACGTGGGGTGCGTTTAGCCTCAAGCATGGTACTTGATCACTTGGATTGACTATACCGCGGTCTCTCTTCCAGATCACTTGCGATGTCTATTTCAGCCAATGAACGACGTTGCTGGATTCGATACGGCCGACCCCACTTTGCCTTGTCCAGCAGTACCAGTAGCAGCATGCAAGCGTACATGCTCGACACTGCCAGCGCCGCCGTCGCCACGTCCCTCGCAGCCGTCGCTCTCGGTACTGCGGCCTACCTCTCGTCGCGGAAGCGCAAGCACGACGACGTTGTCGAGCGCGGGCTTCCTGCCATGCCAGCCGCCGCCGCCAGCGACGCACCAGCGCCCAAGGCCAAGCGTGCGCGCACAACCAAGACGCACGAAGGCCTCGCGGTCGAGGCGTCGATCGTCGACCTGCTCAAGCGTCGGGCGACAGAGACGCCGGATAAAGTCGTGTACGTCTTCCTCGACGACGCCGGCAAGGAGAGCGTTGTCATGACCTTTGCCGACGTCGACCGCGCCGCTCGCCGCGTGGCCGCCACCTTGCAGCAAGACGCTTGTACGTTCGATCGCTACTACCCTACGATCACTCATGCGTTCTGCCTATAGCGCTTAAGAAGGGCGACCGCGTCATGCTCTGCTACCCGCCAGGCCTCGACTTTGCCATGGGCTTCTGGGGCTGCCTCTACGCCGGTGCGATCGGCATCCCTGTCTACCCGCCGTACCCGGGCACGCTCGCCAAGGACCTTCCCAAGTTTAACCGCATGGTCGACGACTCGGGCGCCAAGGTCATTCTGACCAATCGCGCCTACTACATGGCAACGCAGCTCGCAACCGCCAAGAGCTACTTCTCTGGCTCGATCACGTGGCCCAAGGACATTCAGTGGTTCTCGACAGACGCGATCTCGGCGGCCATGGCCGACCGGTGCGACACCTCTTGGATCACAGTCTATCGCATCTGACGTTGCCGTTGTAGCTACGAGCCGGTCGAGTGCACGTTTGATGACATTGCGTTCTTCCAGTACTCATCCGGTTCGACGTCCGAGCCCAAGGCCGTCATGATCTCGCACGGCAACATCCACGCGCAGCTCAAGACGTGGGCGTCGATCCGCGAAGACGATACGATGGTGTCGTGGCTGCCGTCGTACCACGACATGGGTCTCGTCGGCTTCATCCTCGTGCCGTGCTCGACGGGTACGCACTTCGATCCCAGTTTGCACTTGGCTTTTCTGACTTTGCACATATATAGGCGCTCGGTGTATCTCGATGTCGCCGCTGGCGTTCATCAAGGACCCTGCACTCTGGATGCGTACAGTCTCCAAGTACAAGGGCACGCATGTGTGCGCACCGAACTTTGGCTATGCGCTCGCGGCCCGCAAGACGTCCAAGACGCAAGTCGCCAAGCTGGACCTGCGCTCTCTCAAGCAGTGCATTTGTGCGGCCGAGCCCATCCGCATCGAGTCGCTGGAAGCGTTTACCGACAAGTTCCTCCCCGCGGGCTTTAACCCCAAGACGTTCAACTGCGGCTACGGCCTCGCCGAGGTGACGCTCGTAGTGACGGGCCAAGACCCGTACAAGCTCCAGGACCCGACCGTCCTCGTTCTCAAGAAGAGCGCGCTCGAGCAGAAGAAGACGGCGGTCGTCGCGCCCAAGGGCCACAACGCTGTCGATACGTGCACGCTTGTCGGCTGCGGTATTCCGATGCCGACGTTCCGCGTCATTGTCGTCGACCCCGAGACGCACGTGCAGCTCAAGGACAACGCGGTGGGCGAGATCTGGATCCAAGGCCCGAGCGTCGCCAAGGGCTACTGGCACCGCGACGAGTACACGAAGGAGCAGTTCCAGGCGACGCTCAAGGACCCAAAGCGCAAGCGCGAGTCGGTGGGCAGCTCGGACAAGAGCCACTTCCTCCGTTCTGGTGACGTGACGATCCTCGACAAGTCGCACTGGTTGCGCTCGGGCGACATGGGCTTCCTCCGCAATGGCCAGACGTTCGTCACCGGCCGTCTCAAGGATCTCATTATCGTCCGCGGCCGCAACGTCTGCCCCCAAGATGTCGAACACACCGCCGAGCTGGCCCACGACGAAGTTCGTCCTGGCTGCGTCGCGGCCTTCTCGATCGAGACGTCCAACCAAGAAGAGGCCCTTGTTGTCGTCGCCGAGATGCGCTCGGACCTCAAGAAGGACCAAGACAAGCTCCGCGCCATCGCCAACGCGATCGCAACGTCGGTGTTGTCGGAACACCAGCTCCGTTGCGCCTCGATCGTTCTCTTGCGGCCTCGCAGCATCCCCAAGACGACGAGCGGCAAGATCCAGCGCCGTGGCACCAAGGCCAAGTTTGAAGACAACACGCTCGCCGCCCAGTACACCCACACAGGCATCATCGAGAGCCGTCCCAAGCACGTTGCCGAACCTGAGGTCGCTTCGGCCGAGAATGCAACTGAAGCTTCTTCGACGCCAGCAGTGATCAAGACACCGGACGAGATTGTCGCGTGGCTCCTCGAGCGCCTCGCCCAAGAAAACAACGAAGGTGGAACGTCGAGCGAAGATGCCGAGAGCCAAGCCTCGCCGGCGCCTGCAGCTTCCAACATTGACGCCGACACGCCGTGGGCCTGCGTCGGCATGGACTCGGTGGCCATTGTCGGTCTCAGTGCCGAGCTCGGCGAGTTCCTCGGCTGCGTCGTGCCGCCGTCGGCGTTCTTCCAGTTTGACACGCCGGCCAAGCTCGCCAACGCCCCGGGTCTTGCCACCGGTGAGCTCGAGACGCAAGAGTCGACGCTCCCCGAAGGCTCGTACGTCGATGAGAACGGCGAGATCAAGGCCGAGTGCTACGACTTTGAGTGCTTCCCCGAGGTCCAGCACCTCCGTGGTCAGCTAACCGAGCTCACGGACGCCGGTCTCGTGCTGCCGTACTTGGATGTGTTGACGGCCGAGAAGAAGCAGCAGCTCAACTTCAACACGTACAACTACCTCGGGTACGCGTCGCACCCCGCGACGGCGCAGGCCTCCAAGGACGCCATCGACAACTACGGCACGGGCATGAGCTCGTCGCCGATCGTTGGCCAAAACATCATCAACACGCAGCTCGAGGCTGCCTTGTGCAAGCACTTTGACGCCGAGGCGTCCGTGCTCTTTGTGGGCGGCTGGGTCACCAACGTGACGACGATCGCGGCGCTCGTCGGCAAGGGCGACCTCATTCTGTGCGACATCCTCAACCACAACAGCTGCGTGAACGGCCAGCGCCTCAGTGGCGCGACGATCCTC